AATCTTGTTTAATAATCCTTTTTTATGATACCTCTAGAAAACGCATTTTTGGTTTTATACTTGTTTTATTTTATGCACGATGGGAATTTGTATAAGACCATTTCCTAGAGGCAATATTTCATCTAGATAAGGCTTTAAATTGTTTATATTTACCTAGTAAACCTAAAATATGCAAAAAAAATGTCGTTTTAGAAAAAAATAATTTTTTATTGAAAATATTTTTTGTTGTATAACAATTACCTTTTTGGATTTTGGTTACCTTTTGTTACCTTTTGCATATTTATTGTTGTTTGTTTGAGAAATTATGGGACCATTCTGTCTGAAATCTCCAGTCTGGAATTGTGGGCAAATGAACAGGGCGCCAATACTTACTTTCTGTACACAGAGGATGTTGCAATCACCAGAGGACAATTAGATGATACATGATGCCCCCTGTGCACAAATCGCAACTTCCTCGTTTTGCAAAGATTGCTTTGGACGGCTTTGGAGATCCATATCGCCATCGAAGCCATTTCAAAGTGGTCGAGCTCTATCTAGTTAGTTCATAGTCATGGTTAGAGTGGCCAAAACTTCAAGACGTTGAAAAGTTGCTCTGCCTTTGCCCTCGAAGAACTTCGAAGCGAAGGCCCTGGAAATCGACCGGACAGAAGCCAATTTCACTGAGAGCATGCTGTGTTTGAGATGCGTCAAATTATCCCAACAGCTTGTCATGGAATGCCTTGATTCCATCTTGCCTGGAAGATTCGGATGAGTTGCGGTGATCATTCAAAGCTGAATAATAGAGAAACGCTTGGGGCAAGGGAAAACAGAACCTAGCTCGATCTGCAATCGCTGAGATGTCCGTTTTTTTCGGTGGACATTTAAACTTCCATGCAGGAGTGGCCGAAAAACAATTACGGAATTTACCGTCCAAATGACGGAGATCACCGGAAAAATTGCGGAAATTGCCGGACACGGTTTGGATGTTTTGAATGTAGAAAGTTTTGCTGTTTCAGGGGCCTCTGGTACATTGGTACATGCAGGTTTCCTTTGATGAGGCCACGCCTGCTCCTATCAACTCCTTGGTTTCGAGCTGCGCCACTCTGTGGCATGCCCTGCCTGACACATGATGTTGTGCAGCCCCCTGCGCGAGCAAAACACGGCTAACTCGCTGTAGTAGTTGTTTCGATTCCTTAAGAGGGGCTCGCACTGCGTTACAGGTTGTGTATGACTTCGGCCCAAACGCCAAATTTTTCTCACACCACTTTTGAGACGAGGGAAATTGTCAAACTGTCCAAATTTTGCGTGTCAGTTAAATGGCATTGTGCAGCCAACAAAGTTTTATTATTGGGAGAATCAGCCGTGTCAGTAGACAGGTTGCAAGCAAGCAGGTGATCCTAAAAACCATCGAAAGGTACGGTGTATCCTTGCACTTTCGCCGGAACCGAATATTGCATACCCTCCACTGGCTTGATCGCAGCAACTACAATTTTACAAAATAATGACGTTTCTTGGCTGAGATGACCTTTTTGCCGAAAAAAAACACGATTACATTTTTATTTGCATACTTGGGTTTTCTAGGTAGTTTTCTCGAATACTTAGTATTTTCTAGAGAGTGCTTTTACCTGGCCAAAACCATTTATTAGACAAAAATGAATGCACCGTTTTTTCTAAATAGAAAATGGTCTATTTAAATTCACCTTGAAATTCTAAGGGGGATCTTTGAATGTTTTTTTTGTAACAATCATTTTTTGAGTGTTCTTTCACCTTTTCTCTGTTCTTTCAATTTTGTGCTCTGTGAACTTTCCCGTGGAAGGCTCATGATGAAAAAACTTCCCCGTGGAAGGCTCATGATGAAAAAGCAAGCACATATAGCATTATAAGGAATCGGTCTGTGAGATGGGGATTATGATTCTTTAGTGTTGAAAACTTCGTACATACTTTCCGTGAGCTTTCACTTCACGACATAGGGGCTTTGATTCTATAGCGCGCATGAGTTGGGGGGCATGATTTTAAAGAGACCCCCACATGGGGGACGTAGATCTATAGTATGAAATGGTGCTACCCAAGTAGCCATATGAATTTCAAAGGGGATTTGATTTGAAAAATAAATATAGTGATTGATATATGAACATAAGATATTTAAATTGAAATTTATATTATTTTATTTATATATATATATATTGAATTTTTTATTTTATGAATATTAATAGATCTATTTAGTATTAATTATATATTGATATTTTTATGCAATGGATATATTTGTTTTACTTAAATATATAGATTATTATGTATTTAATATATGTATAATATATTTATTAAATAATATATTTTAATAGTATTAAAATAGAATATGAAATTTATGTATATTATATATAATTAATATATTATGTATATTATTATTTGAATATATTATTAGAAAATGTATTTAAATCTAGATGTATTAAATAATACTAATATATTAGCTTAAAATAAATTACGAAAATTATTTTCGATGGAAATTAATTAAAAATTTGTTACAAACGGTCGTTTTGCCCGTTTCTTTTCTTTCCCCTAGCAATACGATAGCATGAATATTATATTATGGGATTATATTAAGGGGTTTTTACGATCGTTACGTCGTCGTTATCATTATCCTTTTCGTTCGCCGCTTCGTAATTTTGAATATGATATATATATATAATATATTTGATTGTTGTAAAATAGATTTAAAAAATACATATTATTTTAAATTGAAATAATCGATATATTAAATATAATTTGTTGTAATTTACGATCTTTTTTTTTGGATATTTTAAATGTGTTTTGCGAAGTAAATATACATATTATTTCGGATTTAATTAATGATTTAATTCTATCCCCCCTTGGAATTTAGTGTTAATTTAGACACCCTTTTTTTAAAACATAATTCTCCCTCCCTTCTGATCTTTTTATTCCGAAATGCATCACCTCGATAATTATTTGGTATTGAATATTCTAAGCTTGAGACAATATTTATGGAGAGACATGATATGTTGTTTTTAATTTCTCTTGTCATTGAGGATTATTATATAAATCCGGGCGCTGGCCACGAAGCCTATGTCCTGTCCGGAGGGCCTTCGGTGGTCCTTCGGTTATAGATGTTGGCCCTGGCTGCCGCCGACCCTCGTCACGAAAAACGGGGGGATCCCCTTCCCACTTCCTGTTCATTGAAGCCCCTGTAATTTACAGTGTTTCGTGTGTGTGCGGTATTAAAAAAATGATTGTGTTTTATAGGTTTTATTGCGCACACCAAAGTGCGACGCGGCGAAGATTGACAAATGCAAAAATGCTGTGTTTTTCAAGGGTGGTGTCGGTAATGCATGCCCGGCGGACAGGCATAATCGACATTTTGTGGGTCGAGGCCTTTCAGACGATTTAAATTGCCTAACATGTCCTCAACATAGGCCCAAGATAGCCAACATATGCCCAACATAGCCTCCAAGATGGCTCAATATAGGCCCAACATAGGCCCAACCTAGGCCAATATAGGCCCAACCTAGGCCAACATAGGCCAACATAGGCCTAACATAGGCCAACATAGGCTAAACATAGGCTCAACATGGGCCCAAGATGTACCCAACATAGACCACATGGGCCTAATTTTGCCCAACCTAGGGCCAAGATGCGCACCAGATAGCTTAATTTTGCTCAATATAGGGGCCCCCGTCTCCGACGCGAACCAATTTCCCACCTTGGCACCACCCAGGGCCCAATATGCCCCCGATAATTTAACGTGCATCCGACCCAGCCCTACACAGACCCAAGTGGGCCGGCGCCCGGTTGTTAGGCGTAAGCCTTTAGATAAATATATATTATATATATATCTAATTATTATCTGTTTTCCCATATTTAATTTCGATCTTTTATTCGATTCTACCAATAATACATTATATTTTTTATATATTTATTTTCCTCCCATTATCCTAGTTTTCGTATTTTCCTTTTTTTCAAATATATTTTATTATTGTAAAATAAATTGCGAAGACATTAGAAATTATTATTAAATATTAGAAGGTGCTTATATTATATTAAGTCGCCGGATCTCGATTGCGAAGTAGGAAATATATCAGAAAAAATATCAAAAGATATATTTAAAAAAATATAAATATCCCCCAGAAATTTCGCAAAACCAACAAATTATCTAAATTAAATTAATCATCAATCTCTAAAATATTATATCAATCCAAATATATACAAAAGAATCCATGCATACATTCCTTACGAGATAATCGAAAAATACAACCACATAAATATTATCAATATATGGTTTTAAAATTCGATTATTTTAATATTTATTATAATTCTTTTGCTTAATTCAATTGCCATTCCATATTCTTTACACCTAATAATCCTAAAATTATAAGTCCGTCATACAAAAAAAAAATAAATTAACCATTCATAATAAATATATCTTTCGTCACTAAAAAAAATCTATTAAACAATACAATTATAATATTAATTTTACCTTTCAAAAATTATGTTCCATAATGTATTTTAAAATCCATATAACCCATAAATATATTGTTTCTTAAGAAAAATATAATTCTTTAAAATTCAATACAACTATATTCTATATTCCAAAATCATTACAAAAAATATTTTAATATATAATAGATTCCGATACGAATTCAAATTCTTTATTCAATATCTATTCTAATCTATAATTCGTCGACCTTAAGATTTTCAATTAATATACAACGATATATATATCCAAAGAAATATCTCTTCATTAATCTAAAAAATCGATTTTAGATCCCAAACCTCTTTAATAATCAAATATAAATTATTACAAAATAATTCATTTAAAAATGTTTAGAACAAATATATAATATATTAATTATTTATTGATTATTAATATCTATTTTCAAAAAATATTAGAACACATAATAACATATATTTATTTATTTTATTTATATTTATTTACTAATTTTATATTTCATCTATCGATAATATGGGAATATTTCCCTGGCATTTGTTTTCCACATGAACATGATTATAATCTATTTTGCGATATATGGTTGAGAATATATCATTCCATATGCAAAGTGCGCCTGCATGTTGTTCAAGCCTCCATTCATGCCTCTCCTGAAGCCAAGGAATGCATGATTGAACCACAAGAAGATACCAACAAAAGTTCCACAAAGCTCTCCACAGCATGCAAATTCAGTGGGCAGTCATTCTGCAAGCATGGCAATTCAGCCCAGAAAAACGATTTTACGCCCAACGAACAGTTCTGAGACTTCAACCATGTCGCCGGCAAGCGCCTGAAATGCAGAAAACCAAACGGGGGGAGGATCTCACCCGCGGTTGAACCTACCCTGAAGATGTTGAAGCATTATGGCTTAAGCCGAATGCACTCACAGTTTGAAGCTAAAATCGTTGCCTGGCTGTCAACCCTGCATTGCCTTTCTTTGGCCGGCGCGATTTATTTAATGTGGCCAAATAGCTGTTTGGGGGGCGAATATATGAGCAAACAGCGAGAACGAAAGATCAGGCTCACCAGGGTTAGATACTATATAAAGGAGGTGGGAATCAGAACACTGTAATTCAATATCACTCAACGGGAACCCATTCTCTACCATTTGCTCTCACTAGGCGGTGGCTCTCAGGTCTGTGGCTCTTCCACTATCCAAACGGAAGGGACACCGGCAATGTGCCACAGTTCTACACACTTTGGGAAAGAGAGCCCAATCTCAGCTGCAACCTCGTTGATAGCAATCGCTAGTAGGTTGGAGGCCATCGCAAATACCTAGCATGCCCTTGCGCATGCTCTTTCGTCTCAACATTGGCTGGGGGAGCACAAGTCGCCAAAAAGGGAGAACCCTAAGGATCCCCAAGCATCTATCAATTGCTGCCCTCATCCTACCAGAATCGAGCCGATCTGCAGTCTGCTAATCCACTTCTGTAATCAAGAAGCCAAATCCTCCTAGTCGTCAATCTGCCATTCTAGGGTTGGCAACACATATAGCCGCCTACACTTCGACTGACATTCGCACTCAATGACTCAGCATAATTCATATTGTAGTCCAATTTTTGACCATTCTTTTGGAGACGAAGACGGGAACCTCTGGGCTCCACGAATCATTTCCGCTCCCTTCGCCTGGCGGCTCTCATGCAGCCTTTGCAGCAAACACCATCCAGGCTCCTCAAGCACTCGCGGCCTGGGAAATGCGACCAAAGCCGGCGGCTGACAAAGCCATGCAACCCCCGACCACTTTTCAGGCTTTAATGTGTTCAAGGATATAAACCTCCTCCAAAATAGGGATTCATTTAAGGTGGATCTTCAGCGCTGTAATGTTGACACAGGATTAAGCAATTATTGTATATATATATACTTTTATTAAGCAAGCCCAGCTCGAGCCCCCAATACTAATATTGTTTAAAGCTGCAATCATCTGCAATCTAAGCTGCGAATGTTCTCCCCAGCAAGCTTTGTTCCACAATCCCTGAAGACCTCTCTAGCAAAATTAATCAATCTTCCCTTATAAAACATCTATCAAAATCTTAACTTAACATTTGCAAGCTCACAAATGGCACCCCTCACACATGCTTCAGTGTTCACACAGAATCCTATCAACCATCATCCATCATCAGGTCATCACCTTTATTGAGGGGATGTGGTCTCCAATACCTCCAATCTCAAACCCTGTTGACCTTGAAGACCTTGAAGGGTGGGGCCGTTTATTAATCCGGTGTTGGCATCAAACTCCACTTTGCACATGTCGCAAAAGCTCCAGCTGCTCCTGAGTCACCGACAAGTGACCATGCAGCGGTTGCAATCCATGTTCCCGCAGTTCCAGAACTCCTAGGGGCGTCACGGGTGCTTTACGAGCAAGAAAGAGAAAGAAGAACAACATCATCCGAAGGTGGCGACAGCTTCACAAAATATCGAAAAGGACCTGCTGTGGAGCCTTTCAACTTCCTAAGGTGCATACAATATCATACACCCAAACGTTAAAGTCCACCAAATTTGGGGAATAATGTTTAATCACCATGGGACGCCATTGGATCAGATGATGGGGACAAATTACTGCTGATGTCATAATCCCTGCCTTGGAACAAAAGGTCCCAAAATAACCTGCAAAAGTCCAAGAACCTTCCACTGCATCAGTCGACCCATCCGCTGAAAACGGCCCCCCCCCCTCCGTCTCCTCCTTCCGAACGACCTCGCCGACCTTCGATCCCCACGACCTCGCTCCTCGGCCACTCGAGAGCCGCAAGTGGAACACCACTGAGGTTCAGCGCGGCCTCGGCCGGGTGGAACACCGCTCCGCGCAATGGGACGACGACCGCTCCTGACTGGCGAACTCGCAATAGCATGCAACAGCTACATTTCTAGCCATATCACATCCATATCACCTGCATGTTCCTGCATTTCGTATCCATATCATTCTATCATTCCGACATTCTATCCATACATTCTGTAAAGAACACCCGCACAGTGCAGCACATTCGACAGGTGATGCACGCATCGTGTTAGAACTAAATCTCCGGCATCATCTCGGGACCGACCCATATGGAGGATCTGGGGATAGCTATCCCAGGAACCTCTTTCATCCGCTTTCCATTCCAGTTCGGCTTGTAGAAATCTGGGGTGCCCCTGTCACATCCACTCACTTATATAAATATCTTAAATATCTTAAATATAGGGAGTGAAAACACGTGAAAACCACCCAACTCCAGGCGGCTCCCGGTTCTTCAGGCCCTCTGGTGCTAGGTCTTCAGGCCCTCTGGTCCCACGCTGATGGAGTTGCGGCGGTCGAAGACGAACAAACGTCCCTGGGTGAGTGGAGCCAGTGGAGCCACATGGTCCCTGCAGAACACACTCCCCAACCACTACACTCCGTAACCAGTCATGGAAGTGCGACCTAATTAATAAGTCTCTGAAGAGTTCTGGACACACGCATACTTCTTCAAAGCCCTGTCAATTTGACTGGGCAACTCTTCAGTGGGTTAGGCTACCGCCTCCTCAAAGGAATCTGGGATGGTGGACATTCTGTCAAATCAGGCTTGCGTTCAGTTGGAAGCTAGGAGACAAATTAGGTGAGGTAGAACCCAGAAATCTGCAGATTCATAATTCTTTGTGCACTCGTGGCAAAACAAGTTGTTGTTTGAAGAATTGGCTGACTACAGTCAGACATATTCAAAGAACTCACCGTGCAGCGAATGCAAAACCCCCAAACTGCAACATGTGCAACCCTCCCAAACAGGAAGCTCTGTACATCCCATCGCCCACTTCCCAAACACGGCCGTGCCCCGCTTGGCCAGAAAGAACAACTATGACCCAACAGCTCTGTTTCCCACTTCCATTCGGTCTCACACCCTGGTACTGGCGAAATCGTCGCCTTCCACTCCTCAGCGCCCACAGTGTTGCCATAGTGCTGGATCCCGCCCTTCAGCTTGTAGACCTCCCACCCACATGGTCCGCTCTTCTGCTGCATGGTGTTGCTACGACCCAGTGATCTCTGAGGCTTGATATTCCACCATTGGCAGATCCAAAACGCGAGTTGGGAAGCAATGGAACGATGTGTCCCTTTGAACCCCTCCTTACAGAAAAACACGTTGATCATGACTGAGTACGATCTCAAACAAATCATGCATCAAACATCTTGGCCATTCAACACCGTTCACTTCAGGAACCTGCGGAACTCTTCCATCACAGAGAATGGGAAGCTACTCTGAATCAGGAACCTGAACAATCAAAGATTTGGCGTAGAACGTTTTTATTGGTCACATATGCAAGGCTTTCAGGACGTCGCGATTGCTCTTTGGATTTGCCCCACATCTGTTTAAAAAGTCAACCATGAACCACTCATCCATCATCCTCTCCCTCCAACGCGCTGGGTCCGGGACCTTCTTGAAACCTAGGGAGTGGGGCGAGGGATCAAAAAAAAAACTGAATCGAACAATAAGTATATTTCAGGGGATCAAGAGAAAACAAACATGAATCAAAAAGTAAAAATACACGGACCCAAACGCGCAGAGGGGAGAGCAATAGTCCATTCGAAGCATTGATCCAAAAAAGGCAAAAAACATGCATCCAAAAAACAGGAAACTTGCATGAACTGAAATGACAATGAAATGAAATGAAACGCAAAGAAATGAACATGAACGTGAAAGAAAAAGGAAGAACGAATGAATGAATCAATGAATGAATGAAATGAATTGTAATGAAAGGAAAGGAAATGAATTGAATGAAATGAAATGACATTACAATAACTGAAGTGACATGAAGTGAAATGAAACGAAACAAAATGAAATTAATGAAATAATGAATTAATAAACCAATGAATGATTGAATGAACGAATGATTGAATGCATGGATTGGATTGGATTCAATTCAGTTCAACTCAATTCAGCTCAATTCAATTGAATGAATGTAAGGAAGGAACGAACAATAATACTATTTCTACGCTCAACAATTGAAAGCGGGAGGGGGCGCGGGGGAGGGCACGGCGCCTCCCCCGCAATCTAACTTGGCACGACCAAAAAACAAATAAGATGGAGTTTCCCATTCCTTTGATAACTGCATGCAATGGTCTCTGCGCTGGGCATCTGGGCAAACAGTTTTGCAACATCGCATTTCAATTTCACAGCCCTCCTTCCTTCCTTCCTTCCTTCCGTCCTTGTTTTGTTTCTTTCTATGTTTTTCTGTTGATGCATTTTTACTTTTTTGATGCACGTGTGTTTATTTGTTGATGCATTTTTGCTTATTCTTTGATGCGTCTCCCAGGGGAGTGAGTGACTTGCCGAGGACCTGATGAATCTCCTATAACCAGCAAACGTAGTACTTGGCCATGGGCATCACACTTGTCACCCATCCACGGTTGCATTGAGTGTTCTCTGATTGCATTGTGTCCACTTTGCCAAAAACAAATGGATCGAGGCAAATCGAGTGAAATGACGTGGTTCACCTCTGGCGTCCTTTCAAACGCTCGTCTCACATGTGTGGTGCACGGGAGTCTGCGATCTGATCCAATTCTGAGTAGGTTGAGGAACCTCCTGATACTGAACACAAGACCAAATTCATTTGCTTCGAACCATCCAACCCACTTCCCGGCCTATAGAAATTAATTCTTCTGTTCAGGTTGCTGAAATAGCTGATATGATATTCTGTGAACATTCTGTGACCATCTGGCAAAGAACACCTGCTCCTTCCCGCCATGAACTCTGCCCAGTCGCCACGCTGTCGTAGCGCCGCACCCATGAACTCGCAGCGGATTCCACCGGTACCTGGGTGGGGGGTGCCCGGCTAACCGTCCAAGCAGGATTGGGATGCATCCGGTGTCTCGGGTATTGCTTTTGTTTTTGTCGGTGGGGTATTGCACCAAACAGCAAGTCAAACGACCACTCAAAAAGCACTGGTTTCCTGTAACGAAAGGTCACAAAGTCATGCTCAAGCCCTCCAATATCATAATATCCTCTAATTAATCATTCGGGTTCCATGCCTTTCTGGAGCACATGCACCACTCATGAGCGCTGCCAGAAGGAAGTGTTGCTTTTTGTCCGGGCAGGACTGGACTTGGCGTTGTTTTCCGCTGACCCTGCTTGTGAGCCACTGGACTACTAGGGAAGCGTCTGACTCATCCAACTCGCAAGGTGTCCACCCGAAGGTCACCGACCGAACCAAGCACACACACACCTCCCTGCCGTCCGGGTGTGGCTCACTTCCCCGGACGGGACGTCCGAACCGAACCTCCCCCGCGGGCGTCCGAACAGTACATGTACAAGGGCGTCTCCTGGGTGTCGACCGGCGCCGGCAGGTGATGAAGCAGAACTTCTCCCTGGGGTCTTCTACTCCCAAAATACCCATGCCACCAGTAGCATTGATCAAGTAGCTGTAGCTGGGCATAAAACCTTCAATCTCTTCATCGATTGCTGGCCGGAGAGTTGAGTGGTGACCTTTCAGTGTCAGGGCGGACCAAAGTTCAAGCGTATATTAATCAGAAAGGGCTTTGTAGGCATTGTATTGGAACACGGTAGTTACGCAGTTGAATCATAGCCTGATTCTTCGCTGTGTGCCTCCAGTGTCTCAGCAAGAAGTCGCACTCCTGATCTTCACTCTGCAAGCCCATGCTTTCAGCTGTCATGGCCTCACATCTGGTTCGTGTTCCCCGTGTTTTCCGCACTCCAAGCGCCATAGCGGCCATATTGCTGACATGGGGAATAAAGGCATGGATAATAATGGGCCAACCGGGATATTTCCTTCCAATGAACTTCCTCAACTCCTCACAGAAAGACACATGCTGGGGGGCCAACTGGCAGGATGAAATTCAAAGCATTTCAGTGCCCTGGTGTCGCCTGGTGTCCACTGAAGTTGTTACTAGCTCCCGGCAGTAGAATCAAACTTTTGCCCTCTCACATGGCCTGGAAAGTTTATGAAACATTGATACTGGAGACCTTCTGGGAAGGTGGAACTCAAATTCTTGTAGAATGCAGTTGGGTTCACAAGGTGCGCCGTTTTCACCCGTTCATTTTACACGTGGAGAGCAAACAAGTGAAAAGCGAATTGCATAGCTGAACAACGAACATGTGTCACATCCCAGTCCCAGTTGTTCCCTGCAGTGAGCCTTTTTCTCGCACATGTCTGAAATGGTATAGTGGATGCCTACTTCAAGTTCAAAACGCTCCCGGGGAAGCAAACGACAGTAATGCCATAAAGGGGAGCACAATTTTTTCTGACTGCTTCGTCGCTGTGATCGGTCACAAGCTTGGCATGATGTAATCCACTGATGTGGACAAGCAAACAAGTATGGCTATAGCTGGACATGCACTGGGTAGCCAAGCATGCAAACAAATAGACCATGAACATATATCCGGGCTTGGAGTGGTGGGTCACCGGTCGGTAACCATGACCTCCACGATCTTTGTTGTGCCGATTGTACCGTGTGAACACCTTGTGACTCTCTTTCTCTCTCTCTCTCTCTCTCTGTCTGGCCTCAGATTTATTTTCATTTCTATTTTTACGTGTGTCAGGGATTTGTATAGTCATATATTTAACAAGCAGCAGCAAAACCAACCCAAGCCTAGTGATGTTGCTGAAACAACAACAATAGACCACCCTGGAGCAACAACATACAAGAATCCATGTGTTCACCTCCTGATCCGTTGTAGCTAATTAATTATTAACATAGACATGGAACATGCACCTCCTCAATATCGTCTTTCATGCATAAAGGAGCCCATTCTCCGTGCCCATGTTCATGACCAAGAGTGAAGCACTTGTTTTGCACGTTCCTTGCCAAACCTCTCCGAGTTCCCCCTAGCTTCGCCCAGTGTTCCAAACACCCTGGCGACGAAGCAACGCTCCCAGAAACGATCGAATCGGAGAGGAATGGGCTCTCCAAAACCCCGCGTGGAGCGGGCAAACTCGCAGAATGGGACCTGGTGTTTTGCCAGTTGGAGCGGTGCAGTCTCTGCAGTTACATCTGTCTATCTATATATTATCTATATATCTGTCTATCTATCTATAAAATTGAAAACCTCCCCCACAAAAAAATATCTATCTATAAAATTGAAAACCTCCCCCCCAAAAAAAACAAAATAACGTCTGCAAATTCAAGGCGAACTCTTTGAGGGATTCCCATTTCTTGACTCGCAAGCCAGTCCAGAAAACTCACCCGTCATTTCTCTTGGTCGACCACCTCGGCGCTCCGCTCCACTGACTTCAAACTTGTGGAGTTCTTGGAGGCACTTCTTTTCTGGTAGGTGGGTTCAACGCAATTCAAACTCACTCTATATAGTTAGTGGGTTCAATCAAGAACAGGTGCAACATAGACACATCTGATCACATCTGAAACCACCACCCAGTTCTTGATCGTATGCTTATTGTGTTGATGGTTGCGCTCCCTGGAACGTCCTCATGGACGTGGATATGGCATGGCCCCGAACGGTACAAGAGAGGTGGTGAACTACCTCCACCTCCACGAGAACATATCAGGGAGTGTATGGGTGGGGGACCGTGCTACGTTGCAAGCTGCAGGGGCACCGTGTGTCCAGGATCAAACCACAAGCTGGCCGGGCACGGGGTGTCCGATGCGCCACTGGAATTGACACTTGTACGAGTGAAGGAAGATCTCTCACGCCTCTTATATAATTTGCTTGACTAGATTAGGTGTTAAGTCCAGCCAGCTTCTGTATTTCATTGGCGTGCGGTTTTTCGGCTGCTGGCTTCACTGCACTTCTCTCATTCGGCAAAACAAGCCGCCCAGGACAGCGCATGTGAGAGTGGCAAGGGGCGAGGATTTCTTCATCACTTACTCACCTTCCTGTGACACCATGTGAACCTCCATCGAACCCCTGTCAGAAAGGAAGCATGGCTTCGATTGCACAAGAAAATCAGCCAACCCCAACCTGCTCAGCTGCTTTGTCTAGTTCCTCTTGGCCCTGCCATTGCCGCTGACCCCAAATTAACCCATCCGCGATATACTCTCGGGACTGAACATCCAAGCATTTGCGACAGTGGCCCAAGAACCCCCCGTAAATCATCTTGCTGGAGTTTCTTCATCGTTTTTCATGGTCATTGCACTGATGGGGATGAACACTCTCGTTCTATGTCCTATGTCAGCTTTGTGTTCGTGGCAGCCTTTGAGAACATGGGATCACCATCTTTGACACGTCGAGCTGAAAAGCAACGCGTGGGTAAAAGGTGTCCTTTCATGCTCGGTTTCACTCAGGTCGGCATCGCCACAAACTTTCCAAATCTGAACACGGGCACCCAGTCATTGAGAAGTAAGACCCCTGTAGCTATCGCTCTCTAGCTGGCGAACATTCTGAATACTCGAAGTATCTTGGATCTTGGGTACTAGGAAGGGTCGCGTGTTGCGCTTGGGTCTCCAGTCCTGCAACAACAGCTGACCCGCTGTGCCCGGTTTTTTCGTCACCACGCCCACAGCTTCACCAATTGAGTCAACGAATCCATTCTGGGCACAGCTTGGGCATCATAAGCAGTACAATACATATCAAGCAACCCCCCCTCAAGCGTCCGAATTTCAAACCATTTCGCTTGAGAGATCGGGCCGTTTTTGTTGTGGTGCCCATCCACTGTGGACCATGTTGCGAAGGCGCACTGTACGTTTTTTGTTCGGTCTTATGTTCACGTACAGCACTTCAATCGGCCGCACGCTCAGATCAAAGCTGTGAAATCTCACCCCCTCCCTTGGCACAGCCCGTCCCACGGCTGTGTCAAGCGTGGTGGCCTAGGCGGCGGCGTAGGTGGAGGTCGAAAAGAACACGGGGTTTGTATATGCATCTTAAGTGCAACTCTCATTAGTAGTTCAAGTTACTAATGGTGGTGAGTAGGCCCTTGCTTCCCCAGAATAGGTATTCATAGTGTGAAACGAGTGCATCGTCGCTGGTGGTCAAGATCCGACTTGCACCATGTTCATCTACAGCTTGACGCCATGCCGCTCTATGTGGACATACTCCCCACTAATAATTAATGCAGCTGTTCGAGGGACATCGACCAAATCGAATCACACACGCAGCCACGCAGCCACGCAGGAGCTAGTGCAGCTGGTGGGTGGCTGTTAGACAACCATCTGAACCGTTGAGGCCCGAGCTCTGTGTGCAACCCGAGCTCTGAGTTAATCCTTCCATGTCCATTCCTTCCTTCTTTGATCTGATTTTGGGATGAGATGGGGAAAGGAAATGGCCTCATGCAGTCTGGCACGAGCCAAACTCTGTGCTGGAGGTAGGACATTGTGGACATTGTCAGGTCAAATCACAAGCAAAGGATCCACAAAATATATACCGTCACGTACAGTGACAAACACATCTGTGGTCTTCCCCTCCCCTATCACCAACCCACTCACCATGCAATTCTCCATCCCTTCCACCGTCTTTCAGAACGCCTGCTGCTCCAAATGCTCGGAGCCGCAGCTGCCGTGCGGCTAAACCCTCGCGCAGCCCAGGGTCGCCTGGCACAAACGAAAGACACGGCCGTGTGTCAAGTGCATCTGGTGCTACCCCCGTGTCCCCGTGCACTTCTCACTTGCATTGAGAGTTCCCACGCGCATTGTGCAGTCCAAATGCGCCCACAACTCGTTGTGAACGGTGTCCTTCTTTCCTATCAATCAAAGCCAAAGCACTCACTGAGTGCTCACCAGCTGTTGTGCACCCCAAATGAACGGAACACACTCCAACCCACACTCCAATCCAGACTTCTGCGCCCGCTTTGCCCGTTTGGTCTTTTGAGTCTTTCCGCTGGCGGCTCACGTCCCCGTTTCGTCCGACGAGAGCCCCGTTTCGTCTGCGGACGCATCGCATCTGAGGCGCCGCACCAGTTCCTTTGGCTTCTCTGCTGGTGTGAGCCGCCGGAAGTGTAAGAGCTCGGCGCGCTCACGGGCGAAGCCTGGCCGAAAGGAAGCGAAAGAGGAGTAGGACACCAAGAGCAGCGAGATAGCAGCTGCTGCCCTTTTTTGGGAAGGGGGTCGGTTGACAGCAGCTGGTCTGGGGCTGCCCGGGTTCTGCTGGCTGCTTTAGGAGTGTTTCGCTCGGGCCCCCCTGGAGTGTTGGACGAACATGGCGCTTGAAAGGCGAAACGCAAAAAGCACAAGACCATGCACCATCGGGGTGCCACAGAGGTGCCATTGGGGTCCTCAACGTGTTCTTTAGGTTCGATGATTCGACTGTTCCAGGAACAGTGAAGCATCCAGGACCTCTGAAGGTCATCATGAGGTGGACTAAGCGCCAGCAGGTTCCAAAGGTAATAGTTCAAATTTCAAACTCATTGGGACTGTCAACAACTCCAAAGGCGACTGGGCTTGATTTACTCAACTCCATCATGCCCCTGAGTCCCTTGCTCCAGTACAGCTTCATTTATCCTTCTACTCCGCAGCATGTTTCAAATACCGCAGGGTCCCCACTCACACCCACGCCCGCACCCACACCCAGCCACACAAGCACCCATCTCCCAAATAGTCTCCTTGGATAACTATGGCCAAAATAAGGATAGGATCACAATAAGTTGTTCACATCTGCCCCACCACCACTTCATGTAGACTCTTGATCAGCGACCCAAATCCTAGCCTTTTCAGAGGTCTTACAATCCATATCTGGGGGGTGTGCTTTCTTAAGAGATCTGCATCTTCAT